CCCCCTCCACCTTCCTTCGATACGTATCGCGTAAGGTTTAGATTTCTTTACGGCGAGTTATTTATTATTTTCGTAATACATTTCCTGAACGCCATCTAGATCTCCACGCTGTCCTGTACGTTCGATTTCCCTCGACCCTGTTAGTTTCGAGATCTTTTCGGCACGGTTCCTTCGTCTGATATCTCGCTATTCGTTCAGCCTGTCATTTTGTCCCACACCCCTTGTAAATCCCTCTTTCGTCTTGTACTTCACTTTCTACTTTTCTTGGAAGCCCACTAAAAATGTCGACAACGCTTTGGCTCATTTGTCTTGTCGCATCTACCCCAACCTGGAGGAACAGGATGACTGGCTGTCTTTGAGATTTCTTTTCACTTTATAATTGAACTTCATTTAACATTAATTCATCTTTTCAACAGCTTGAAGGACACGGTATGCAAAGAATCTGGTAATGATGTTTCGTGTTTTGACGTAAGATAGAGATCGCTTGTGAAGCTGATGGATTCTCGGAACGTAGTACAATGAAAAACACACGTGTGGTTTTCAAGGTCTGATGCGGCCTTTTGTCGAAACGAGCAAACATTTCAAAATATTAGAAAACCTGGTTCGTAATTAGTAAAATGTCAAACTCCGTCTACGGCCAAGTTTCGTAAAACAAGTTCTTAAAAAAATTAAGCGAGATTTGGCAATATTTAGACAAGTTATGTAAGGAATGTGAGAAATTGACATTTCTTTGGCACGAATTCCACCAATTTACAGTAATGCCAATCGCCTAGTCAGCGTTTTCGAAATCTGACCCGTTTATTACGAAACAAAAGGTTAAGAGAAGAAACAGAACGAATGTGAAGGAGAGAGAAGAGGGAGTGGCTCACCTGCTTGAGCGCCATGGACTTCTCGGCGGACAGCCCTTCCATCTCCAGGCGCGAGCGCACCGCCTTCGCGGCGGACTGCTCCTGGTAGCTCAGGCCCTCGGCCTGCACGCGCTTCACCTCGGCCGAGTTGGCGGTGGCCTGCTCGGCGCTGAAGGTGTCCGTCACCACCTTCGTCTTGGACGCGGACGTCACCCGCTTCTGCTCGAACTTGAGGGAGGTCTCGGCGGCGGCTGCTGCGGCGGCCGCGGTGGAGGCGGCGCCCACCACGCCCACCCCGGCGGGCCCCACGAGCGACGGCAGCGCCACGGGCCCCGTGGGCGGCGGCGTGTCGGGGTCCGGGAACGTCACCAGCGGCTCGGGGTCGGGCGACCCGCCGCCGGCGTCCTCCCGGTCCAGCTCCTCCAGCGACGAGCGCAGCCGGCCGAAGTTGGACTTGGACAGGTTCTTCATCTCGGTGATGCTGGACTTGAGCTCGGACAGGTCCGACTTCATGGAGGAGGCCTTCATCTCGCTGGAGGTGACGTTGAGCACGCGCTGCGACGAGGACGTGGACGTGGAGGAGGACTTGGCCACCCGCGACGAGCTCGTCGTGGTCGACGTTGAGCTGCTGTTGGTCTGCTGCAGCATCTGCGGGCAGCGCGAGCGACGGCTATACTTAACGCGCTGCCTGGCGGGCCACCAAACGCAACACGTGAGAGAGCGAGCGGGCCCCCGCCCCCGCCC